GGAGATGGAGAGAGAAGGAAAATCGTTACAAATTGACACCCCCTCCCCCGGTCCAATCTCTACTAAATGGGTTTCAAGGATTATATTGCAATGGCCTAGTTGCAGCCTCCATCCCCCATCTAACAACCCTCTCCATGGAGACAAAGATTCATTACAACCAGGCAATGCTCTGACTACATGGCCTTGGTGTAGTGGGGCTGGGGAATGGGGGTGCACAGCCTTTCAGATCAAGGGCATGACTTCCAATATGAGGATTCTTTTCCTGCAGCAGAGCACCCCCTAGCACAACACTGGGGCATCGAGATCCGGAGGCAACATGTCCCTGGAAAAGCCAGCTACATGCACTTAAACAAATTAGGATTGAGGTGCATCACCGGAGCTGGGAGCAGAAAGCCTACAACTGGGCCAGTAGGCCAGGGTGCTGGTTAGGACCGAGATGCATCAGAAGGGCTGTGTGCAGAGAGAGACAGCCTGGCACAGCAGAGCAGGCTGTGGGTTGAGAGTTATATCTCGCCATATTGATTAGGATTAACATTGCACTGCGTAGAAAATCCAGAGAAACATCCATTGTCCCTTTATTCTCATCAGCATGCAGAAGGAACCCCTTCCTATGTACAAAGACCCACGCTCGCCCCTCACAGTGGAGCCCCCCCTTCATTGCACCTTGTGCCGGATTCTGGTTTATATTGAGGTGCAAATCAATGGTTATAAATGCCAGGTACATCCTGTTGCTGGGGCAACAAGCTGGTGTCAGAGGGACAAATCCTTTGCTGCATCCATCTGTCATTTGGAAGGCACTGGGGTGATCTGGGGGGAGGGGGAGGTTCACAGGATCTGGGAAGGTCTCTGGCTATCTCCAGAAGGCACAGGTAGGAGATAAAAGCTGGGAGATATAAGCTGCTTTTCAAAGGTGGGTGCATGATTCAGACAGTGCTGTCCACAGGGGAAACAGAAAACATCTGGCACAAGGGAGCCCTGATCCAGGATTGGCCTCTTAGGTGCTACCTCAGTACAGTGATATAGTATAGTTCCCCTCTCCAGAACCAACCCTTCCACAGCTGTGAACCCATGGTCAACTCCCAGAGCCAGATCTACCTCCCCCAAACATGATGGCAGGCCCCAAAATGCTCTATCCAAGACATCCCTTTCTCCACCGCCGCCCCTGTAAGTCTGTAGAGTTCTCCACCCTCCAAGATCATTCTGTCTCTCCAGTCCCTCAGAATAATTCTCCTGCATCTGTGCCTACAGCCATAGATCTAGTAACCTACATCTCACTCCCTCACTTGCGCGTGTTCGAACAACAATCTCCGTGCTCAGAATATATGAGCCTGAGGCTGGTGGCCCCATATTCAGCGCAGAAAAGACTTCTGCCTCTCTATCCAGCTCCCAGAGATTAAACATTTCTCCATCAGCCTGGTGACAAACAGATGCTAGCTGGACAGGCAAATCTGGTGTGATGGGGAGGGCCAGACCTAGGTCTGGGGATTAGAGAGAAGTAAAAAGAAGCCACACATACATCATTTTACCTCTGATGCTGGCATAGGAAGAAAGCTACAGGGGGAAGAGAAGCGGGTGGCAACACACGGAGGGAATCGGGGAGGAAGAGGGAGAGGGAGAGAGAACAGGCGAGGGTGACAGCGTGAGAAAGAGCTAGAACAGAGCGGTGCGGACAGGGACGGGAGAAAAGCAAGGGGCGCAGAGAGCCCCTCCGACACGAGCCTGGGACCGGAGAGATGGGGGAAGTTGCAAGGGGCGGCGGGAGCCCGGCGGAGGAGGGAGAGCAGCGGCGCGTCGTTTTGGACACGAGTGGGAAGCCTGGGCAGGAGGGAGGCGGGCATCCCGGGTACCCCAGCCCACGCCTCTGCTCTGCCCCCGCTCACCTTTGTTGCAGGAGCCGCCGAGCAGCAGGGCACAGAGGCAGAGCAGGGCGAGCAGCAGGGCGGCGAGGGGCTGCGGGCAGCCCATGCTGGCACCCGGGCCCAGGCGGCTGCGGGCACGGACAGCGGCCGGGCGGCGCCCCGCGCC